GAAAAGTCTGAGTTCTTCTGCCTATTATATGGACTTTAATGGAACTATGCCAGCAACCATATAAATCTGTTGGCCAATCATAAATAAATAAATAAATAAATAAATAAATAAAGGACTCTTGGTGTCATCCAGGGCAGATGCACCACTCCTCTGACAGAGCCCCATTCTGTCAACAGAAAGTCATCTACTCTCTGTCATATAATGTCCCTTCTGTCTGTCTGAGAAGTCTGAGTTCTTCTGCCTATTACATAGACTTTAATGGGACTATGCCAGCATCCATATAAATCTGTTGAGTGACTGAATATAACCTATGCTCCAAAGCTCATCTGACTGATTTGATGGTTTTTCCATATTTGTGTATTTTTCTGCATAAATATACAGTACAGCCAAGCTGCAAGTTCTAAAGAACTACAGTACTTTAATTCTTAGCTTTTCTTTGCTAGGTAGGGGTTTTTTTGGTGATTTATATTTTTATTGTAAATTTAATTCTACAACAATGGAGCAGGTTATAATAAACAATCAAATAAATAAATAAAATAATAAAACCCCAAGTGGCAGAACTGCTGGCATGACTGCAGCATGAAAGTCAATACCTGATGCAGTATAGCAAAGTGTCACCCTCAACCCAGATATATTGCTCCTAATTCCGGGAACATTATCCCACAACTATCCCTGTCTCTTGCTTTTCACTCAGCTATCAGAAGAATACTTGCTGTTCATTCAGTCAAAAATAACTACATAATATAGCATATATGAATTGGGGAGAAAAGATCTTTTCTCTCTGTAGGCGTGACCAGCCTCTGGCACTACAGACCTGGCAGTGACTTTGTTTCCTGGCAGACTCCATAGGCTCAGTTTCAGGGCTTAAACATGTAGGAGCTTTATTTACAATTGTTATACAGCCTGGCAGAATTCCTGTACTCTTGGGAGATGTGGATTGAGAGGTACTCACCAGTCCTTGGGCACCCTCTCAATTAACCTCACTGAATGTCCCCATGGATCTAGTACTCCAGAGTAAGACACTGTCTGGCTCAAAGAGGGTTTATACTGTCCTTGATGGAGGCTCTGGCTAACCAGCCTGTCCCTTCCCCCAGGCCTTCCCTGTCTGGGATGATGAATGAGGCTCCACTGTCAGTCAACAGTTGTCCTATCCATCCATCTATATCCCCTTCCCCTTCCCCTCCTCCTTTGTCAACCAGCAGCCTCCTAAAGCCCTCTTTCCCGTTACTTTTACAGTGGTGCCTCGCTAGACGATGATAATCCGTTCCACTGAAATCGCTGTTTAGCAAAATCATTGTCTAGCGAAAAGCGTTTCCCCATTGGAATGCATTGAAACTTGTTTAATGCGTTCCAATGGGGAAGAATTGTCGTTGTCTAGCAACGATTGGCCGTTGGAAAGCCACTTTGCGAACTGCCAATCAGCTGTTTAAATCGCTGTCTTGCGAAGCTTAGGTCCCCAAAACACCTCTTTTGCGAGTGTGGAGGAAGCTGTCAAAATTGTCGTCTAGCGAAAAATGGTTTGCGAAGCAGGGACAAAACATTGTCCAGCGAAATTCCCCCATAGGAATCACTGTTTTGCTAATCGCTATAGCGATTGCAAAAAGTCAATGTCTAGCGAAAAAACTGTCATGCAGGGAAACTGTCTAGGGAGGCACCACTGTATCTGGTTTCTTGCTGCCTCAGGCAAGTGTTTCTCCTTTACCTTCCCCAGCTGTACTCCTTCCCTCGTCCCTTGTTCTTTAGCCTTTTCCCCTGACTGAGCTCTTTCAGATGTTTTAAAGGAGCCCGAAGGATCATCATGTGCATGCTGACTACATGGTATGCTCACCCCATCACACTCCCATTGCCAGTGATGTAGCTGTCTAGGTAGCTTTATGTCACAGCTAGCTCGGCAATAGGTACAGCACAAAACCACATTCTACGCTACATTCAAAATTGCTGTAATGTTTTACAGGAGTACTGCAATTCAGACCTTGTGAATTTTAAGTGAATGATGATATTCCCCACAAGGAATGAGCTAAGTGTTAGAACACTATCAGGGTCCCTTATACTGTACCAGGTGACCACTGTACAATTCTTTGTGCAAAAACTATAGTGCTTGGGAAGTTCTTAATTATGAATTTGTGTCCAAATATTGGCTATCTGGCTAAGAGAAATTATTATTATTAGTTTTATTATTCGCAACATTGAAAATTCACACAATTTAAAAACACAGTAAGTTAAATATTAAAAGATAAATTAAATCATATTGTATATGATTTAAAATACTATTAAAAGATTAAAACATGAAAAAATGGAAAATATTAAAATTATCTGCTAAAATGGGGTTCAGAGAATCAATTGTAATTGTTAAAAGCCTGCCTGAAGAGATGGGTCTTTAGCTTTTTACCAAAGGATAAGGGCTTTATAGGTAATGACCATGACTTTGAGCTGGGTCCAGAAACGGACTGGTAGCCGGTGCAGTTCTTGTAACAGGTGCATGATATGCTCCCTGTAGCTGGCCCCAGTCCGACTATTGCCATGGGCAACTATTGCCATGGCTATCCAGACTGTTTGAATTGGGAGAAAATTTGAGGGTGACTAGGATCCTGTTCCCTCTCCTACAATGTTTCCCTTGTCTCCTCTCTCCATATCTCCCTCTACCCAGTGTAGTGCCAATGGCAGCTCCCTGCTCCCCCTCATTGGCCTCCCCATTTGAAAGACACATCCCTCCCACCCCAGACAGACAGCGACAAGGAGGCAAATGAAAAAAGAATCCCTCTAGGCAAGAAGAATGAACCTCACCCTGATTTCTCAAGAAATAAATAAAATGTTTGTGTTTAAGAGAGAGACTGTATCTTTCAGACTTGTTAAGCAACAAAAGCATTCAAGGTACGCTCCTGGTTCTTTTTAAACTTTAGTATAAAGAAGGGAAGAAGCTGAAGCCGAAACCAAACTATAACAGTGTTGACCTTTCTGAGGTGGAATGGGAAGATCTGGATGAAACAGTAAGTGTTTAAACTTGGATAGCAGAGTGCATTTCCTCCCCCTGTTTGTCACAGCAACCTTACAGAAGGAAGTCAAAGGCTGGACTAGGTGGATTCACTGGAGAAGGAGTTGCATCACAGGAAAAGCCCTGCTTCTTCTGCCTAACAGGCTAACCTGAAGCCACATGATGGCATACCAAGCAGGACATCCCCAAAGTTCCAATACAGTCCATATTGCTTCACATCTAGTATAGGTAAAATGTGACTCTACAGATGTTGTTGGACTAAGACTTCCACCAGCCCTAGCACATATTATCAAGAGTGAGGAATGACAGGAAATGCGGTCTAACAACATCTAGAGGTCCAGAATTTGTCTATTGTGGCATGTTCCTGTTACAAACAGGATGCAAGTCATTTAGTTAAAAAAAATGAATACTGCCACTTTGAAATTACTAAAGAAAATACATAGGGAGGTAGTGCCATTAATTTTCACATATAAAGTTATAGGTTCAATTTCTGACATCTCTGGTACAAAAATATAAGGAATCAGGATATAGAAAGGTGCAAAAATAACTTCTTTTTTCATTTGAAACATCTCTACCATTCTGATTAGAAATCCTTAATTGACATAAAAAGGTACTTTTGAGAACTATACATGAGACAACTTCCTAGAGATTACTGTTTCTGTGGGGAAGGCAGTATGTGGGGAGAGTTAATCCTTTCCTTTCTCCATGTATTTCTTCTCTAAGAATGTGTGTGTAAGAAAGAGAAACAGGGGGAGAGCGGGTGTTTCCATGCAAGGAGTGTACATGCTAAGTGTATGTGCATGCTTGTAAGGGAGAAAATTAGGGGAAAGCTGTGGGGGATATTATGGATGGTGGCCTTGACTTTGCTCACCACCAACCCACATCTCACCCACCACTACTTCACACCATAACTATAGCCAGTACATGCCCCCCCCACAAGTGCTATTGAGCAAATACTGCTACCTGTTGCAGGCAGATGGCCTTAGTCATAAGACTTTAATCCAAATATTGTGTTCTCTTCTGAAGCTGCGAACAGCAATGATCAATGGTGAAACAGGTTACCTCTCAATGGATGTAAAGGTGCCTGTGGATAAAGGGGTGAGTATGTTTCTTTGCTTTCATATACAATTCACAGACAAAAAATAATAAAAGTACTGTAGCAATACATGGTAAAGTTGGAACCAAGCCAATATTTTAACATTTCAGGGTGTTCAATCTGTTAGCATGTATAGCAGAAGCAAAACAAAATTGAAACAATTGTGGAGCCTTAAAGACTAAAATATTTATTTCAAAGTGGGCTTTCAAGGTTCACATTCCACAGCTGCAGGCAGTATAATCCATGAAATTTTATACTGCAATATATCTGTTAGTGTTTTAGGGAGCCACTGTACTTTTCTTTTTTATTTTTGCTTTGGTTTTTATTATGTATGCCGAAGCAGACTAACATGGCTTTCTCTTTTTTAACCTGCTAAATATCCCTCAGTGCTATCTGAAGTGACTCCATGAGCTATTGGATGTCTAACCTTCTTGGACCACCCAAGAAAGGTGACTTTTAACTGGATCTCTCAAAACCCAGAGGAGTTATGGAGGTGCAAAACAGGTTGTATTAAGTACGGCTGCTGTGACAAAGAAGCAATAGCTATGTCGCCCCCCCCCACACCCACACACTTCCTTTTTGTAAATGTATATTTGGTAGTTTCTTGGTTTTTTTCTCCAGCTCTGGTCAAAGCTCACAGGTCTCTTAGAAAGTAGTCAACACTATTACAGTGTTCATGTAATAGCCTTTATATTTGCAAAACTGCTTATCAGTTTTATATAGAACACAGACAGAGAGGTGAGAGGGTAGCTGTGTTAGTCTGTCGGAGCAAAAAATAGGAAAGAGTCTGAGAGCACTTTAATATGATTGGTCTGGCATCAGCTTTCATGGACTGCCTGCAGTTAGCTTCGATATGCTATTTGTAGAAGCCAAGTTTGTTAGCTGTTGAAAGATAGGTATTCAGCCATGAAAATCTCCAGAAAATTTCTAAAATTTTGAAATCTGATTTGGCAGTTCTGAATCTGCTTTATGCCACTTGAGTGTAGAATGGGATAGATGAATTCCATTACAGGGAATAAGAGACCGTCTGTAAGAATTTTGAAATAATGTAAAACTCCTCACATTACCTTTATTAGTATATTTCTTTTTGCTCTTTGGAGATCTTCTCTTTGCAAAACATTTCTAATATTTTCCTCTTTTCCTAATTTTTCTCTCCATAAAATGAAAACATATCTTGCATATTTCTGCTGCAAGAGCTGAGAGTTATTTATCAAGAGGGCTCCCCAAGCACAAGGCAATGTTTCATTTCCAATTGCTGTATGGCCTTTGTAGAGATCTAATTAGTTCTCCCTTACCTGCCACCAGGTCTGTGCCTCTTTCTTTAGTTTTGTTTCTCAGAATTTTCTGGCTCATTACACACTATATTTTTGATTTTTTTTAACCAGCTGTGCATACTTTCTGAGGGTGAGCATATTGGGCTGGACACAGACAACAGCTTTTCTTAAGGGTTTAGGAAATGTTTGATGAGAAACAGCATTCTCTACAGTGTCTCTGTGTGAGAGAGTACATGCAGAGATGAATAAACCTGCACAACCTTTTTTGTGATTAAACAGGTTTTGCAGGTTTTTGGAACAATAGATATCCTGTTCAGCACCCCTCTTCTAGTGTGCCTACAACTTTTGAGGAAGAGGGGAACTGTCCATTAACCACATCACATTGTCTTTCTCTTCAGTGACATGGATCATTCTATTGAATTCTAGATCCTCTGTGTATTTAATTAGCTAACTTAATATTCTTTTTCTCTCTCAATAGTAATGAGATTTGTTTCAAAGTTTAGGAAAAAAGAGATGCATTGAGACTGTTGTTATGACCTCCTGGTTTTCTCTCTAGCCACACACGTAGACATGCTTCAGGCTTTACTATCACTTTTGTGTTTGCAGATCTTCAGTTAGCTTCCAAATTATATAAAAGATAACTTTTCTTTTAGCCTACATGAATTAAAATATTGCAACTAATATTTGGATAGGAGAGATTAAATCATTTAGGTAAATTGATGTATATATATGTATTCTTGAAGGCTTTCATAGCCGGGATCCAATAGTTGTTGTAGGTTTTTTGGGCTGTTCACCACTGCAGGAGTATACTGGATACCTTGCAGTTGTGGGCAGGTATATATTGGAACCACAAAATGCAGCATCCACAGAATCAAAGAACTTGAAAGACACTGCATACTAAAACAACTGGAAAAATCGGCAGTAGCTGAATATGCCCTGAAACAAGCTGGACATGAAATTCTATTTCAAAACACAGAAGTACTGGACAACACCAGCAATCATTATGTTAGACTTCACATGGAAGCCATTGAAATCCACAAACACCAGCAGAGCTTTAGCAAAAAAGAAGACAGTCTAAAACTCAAGAAAGCCTGTCTCTCAGCATGGACAAATATGGCCTGCAAAAGGTTAGCAAACTCTACCCAGTCACAAGGACCGGTGATCACTGCACACAAAAGACCAGCTAATGACACCCATTAATCACAATGACAGATCATCTCTCCCCCTTATCACAACAATATACCCACAACAAAAAACATGCTGATCACCATAATCACCAAATTTCCTGCAAAGGACAAAAGCTGATCCCACAGCTATAAATACTCAACTATCCCACAAACTGCAGCACAACACAGAGTTCTGACTCCTGTCTTCTGAAGATGCTGGCCACAGAGACTGATGAAACGTTAGGAAGAATAACCTTCAGAAAATGGCCAAACAGCCCAAAAAAACTACAACAACCATGAATGTTTATATACTTTACCAGTTAACATCTATTTTTAATATTTTTTAGAGAAATGAAAAAAAAATATGGGAAAGCAAGTCCATGTTACAGGAGTTGCTAGCCTATTACTGAGTGGCCCAACTCTGGACTGTATCTTTTGAACTCTACTTAAGAGCACAACATACAGTTCATTGGAGAGAAAAGGCCACAACATTATTGGTTACAGTAGAAGTCGCTGACGTAGCATTGGGAAAATGGATCCATTGCATTGTGAAGCCTGACTACCCCTACCCCCCCCCCAGTGCTTACCATCATCTGCTTCTGTACCTGTTGAAGGCTCCAACAGGAGCACTAGTCCTCTGGCAACGATGTGGGTGTACACCACTAGATGACTCTTGTCACCTGAGAGTAGGGTTGGGCCAACAAGCTGCACCAGCTTGGCCAGACCCTGCCCTGAGTCCAGTAGTTGAGTATGTTAGGAGATGCTGATTTCCTTGGTGGGCTTCATGGCCAAGCAGAGATTTTAAGCGAGATCTCTGCAGTTCCAGACCCTCTTAGGAGGCATAAGAAAAAAGTAATTCCACAAGTGCAAGCAGGGTTTCTGTGATTTTCTACTACAGAAAGTCAACAATGTACTTTTCCAGAGAAGTAAGGACTAGCGCTAGGATTTGAAAAAAGCCCTTTCTCTTTTCCACCTTGCTGATTACTCTACCTTTGTTTTGCCAGCAAGCATTTGGGGGTGTTTTATTATTTTCATTTCTGATGATGGTAATACATGGATGATAAATGGATAGTGCGTACAGTTCCTGCTCTCTTTTTTTTGTAGTTTTAGAAGGATGTTTTAGTGTATTCTTCTTCCTGTGCAGTTTGTGTGTGTGTGTGTGTTTCTTTGATACATATATATGCCATATGGTAGGATAGAGAGAAATCCCAAAAGATATAAAATATTAGCAGTATCAAAAATGAAAGAAGTGGGTATTGGATGCAACAGAAGAAGCTTAGGGGACATATTGTGGTTGTAGATTGGGCCTGGTCTATTCCGTCTCCAACTCAGCAGGGTGAAAACAGGGAAGCCACACTGTAGCCGTGCATACACAGAATTTGCCCTGTGGGGCAATTGGCTGGCCATGCTTGACCAGTCACTGAATCTAGCTGAGATATTTTTGAAATGCTCAGCTGGCAGCCAGGTTACAAATCTCCCCTATAGCAGCAAGCTGTCTTTATGAAGCATGGATGATTTTGCTTCAAGTCCCCTTGCTGCCTGCTGTCACTGTGCCAGCTGGATTTCCAGTGTACTGAGGATTAGTACTTAATGGGCAGGAGGAGCGGGGATGGGGGAAAGAGGTGGTCTCGTGCGACTGGAGCAGTGGGAATAAGCTACAAGGACAGATCATTATCCTGCTGTCTGCCACCTTTTTCCTCATGTCTCCATCCCAACCCCATATGTAATTCCATCTAGTCCATCTGCTAAGTGTTGAGACCAACCGTAGCCAAGGTTTCTGGGCGTGTTTTACAACATTTGAACTGTTAAAGCAGGCCTAGAACATTTTGCCCAGTGATTATGTTCCTGTTTATTGGTCTTTCTTATATCATCCTCTCCTCCGTTGAGAAAGATGTGGTAAGCATCTGGAAGCATGTACAGGAGAACTGTCTGAACAAACTAGGTAGAGATCTGAAGTCTTGTCACAGGAGATAACCTGAGGTGTAAAACCTCCTCAGTAAAACAAGCAGTGAATTAATAAGGAGGCAAGCACTCCGTGGTGGTGCTGTACTTGACAGTGCATGCACCTCTCCTTGAAGTGCTGTGAGCAGATCTGAGGCCTTTACTTTGCCTGCTGTTTCCTGCTAACCCTTCCCACAGTCAAAGGAAGAGGTCAAAAGAAGGATGGAGTGGTTGGTAGCAAAATCACCTTCTTTTAACAGAGGACACCCAAATGGGACTATCCTCAAACAGGAGATTTTCATCTATGTCTCTCTGCCCCTCCTTTGCAAGGTGAAGCATTTCTTTACCTTGAACAATGGGAGGGGCTGATTGGCAGAGGAGACCTGGCGTTGTGCCATTTGAGCATTGCAGTAGAAAGCTCAGAGGCCTCCCCCCCCCTCTCCACAGGCTTTCGTAGTGATCGACTTTAACATTCAAAGGTTGTTTATTCATTGTTCTTGTGAATGTCATCAGACTTTCCTCTTATTTCTGCACTTCCATCATTGGCTTTTTTGTTTTCACAATGCCTTCCTAAACCCTACTTGCTCATTCTACCTGCTTACCTCTCTCACTACTGGTGATGTATCTGCTGTGATGTTGCTTACTGCAGCCAAGGTTAGAAAACGAGCTAACCTGTTATATAGAAGGATTACGAATTACATACCTAAATTCTGAAGATTACTGCAGAGAGTACCAGGTTCAAATTCTGTGAGCAGGTTTTATTAAATTAATAATACACAACAACCATTAGATCCTGGCCGTGAAGGCCTTCATGAATACATTTATTAAATTACATCACGTGTCCTCACATTCCTCCATTACTTTTCAGATGGTACTTTACAGTTGTCGGTTAGTCTAACAGGCTTCACAACCTGTCTCTGCAAACAACAAGCAGATGACACAGGTTTATGATATGCGATGATGAGACAGTGTACCAGGTGGCTAAGCAGGCATATTATATTACACTGTCAATCCATTATAAATGCATGCATCTTGTGTAAAAGTGCAAGATTTCATCAAATAATTTGGGCAGATATCCATTTTTTGAACAACTAAAAAGACAAACCCAAATAAGTGGACAGCATAAATAATTATCGTCGTTGTTTAGTCGTTTAGTCGTGTCCGACTCTTCGTGACCCCATGGACCAGAGCACGCCAGGCCCTCCTATCTTCCACTGCCTCCTGGAGTTGTGTCAAATTCATGTTGGTAGCTTCGATGACACTGTCCAACCATCTCATCCTCTGTCATCCCCTTCTCCTCTTGCCTTCATACTTTCCCAACATCAAGGTCTTTTCCAAGGAGTCTTCTCTTCTCATGAGATGGCCAAAGTACTGGAGCCTCAGCTTCAGGATCTGTCCTTCCAGTGAGCACTCAGGCTTGATTTCCTTTAGAATGGATAGGTTTGTTCTCCTTGCAGTCCAGGGGACTCTCAAGAGCCTCCTCCAGCACCACAATTCAAAGGCAACAATTCTTCTGCGGTCAGCCTTCTTTATGGTCCAGCTCTCACTTCCATACATCACGACAGGAAAAACCATAGCTTTGACTATTCGGACTTTTGTTGGCAAGGTGATGTCTCTGCTTTTTAAGATGCTGTCAAGGTTTGTCATCGCTTTCCTCCCAAGAAGCAGGCGTCTTTTAATTTCGTGGCTGCTGTCTCCATCTGCAGTGATCATGGAGCCCAAGAAAGTAAAATCTGTCACTTCCTCCATAACTTCCCCTTCTATTTGCCAGGAGGTGATGGGACCAGTGGCCATGATCTTAGTTTTTTTGATGTTGAGTTTCAGACCATTTTTTGCACTCTCCTCTTTCACCCTCATTACAAGATTCTTTAGTTCCTCCTCACTTTCTGCCATCAGATTGGTGTCATCTGCATATCAGAGGTTGTTGATATTTCTTCCGGCAATCTTAATTCTCGCTTGGGATTCCTCCAGTCCAGCCTTTCACATGATGTATAATTATAATTATAAACTAATTAACATCCATAGGTACGTACGTAGCTAGGTAGCAAACACCAGCCAGAAAGACTAGGACAATGTAGTCATGTGGCTAGAAACAAAATTTTGGGCTCAGTATTACTTATGCTGGATCACTGAGAATGTACAAATAAGACCAGTTTTGGACTCCTCCAAAACTCTTCAACAGACATATATGGCATCAAGTTTAGGTTAGGGCAAGAGGCAGCCCCCAAATGCTAATGAGTTTTGGTGCCAAAGAAGATGCTACTGCTATTGTGACATATTTGTGTATTATCTAAAAATAAGAAAAACATGTGGTTCCTCTTCAGTAATTTTTGTTTTTTAAATTCAGGTTCAATCAAGGAATTAGTCTCCTAAATTTTGTGTTAATAATGGATTAAGAATGCAGTCATAGACAGATTAAGCTAGGAGTAAACTTTACTGAACTAAATGGGATTTCATTCATTTGCTAGACCTTCTTTTGCCCCATCACATATAAAGCAAAGTGGGCTGCTTATATACCGCCCCACTGTCAGGGTGGTTTACAAGTTAATTATGCAGGCTATACTTTGCTCCCCCAGCGAGCTGGGTACTCATTTTACTGACCTTGGAAGGATATAAGGCTGAGTCAGCCTTGATCCTGGGATTGAACCCGGGGTCATGAGCACAGTTTTGGCTACAATATAGCAGTTTAACCACTGCTCCTTGAGACTAGGAAGGAAGCAAAGGAAGATCTAGCAAATAACCAAAATAATGCAATTGAAGCAGCTCGTTTCTGGTCAAAAACAGTCTAATTATCTTAACATTTTAATTTGTTTTAATTTTAGCTACGTTTCATATACATTCAGAATTTTAAATTGTGCAGCACTCTGATACAAATAAATAAAATAAATGAATGAATGAATGAATGAATAAATAAATAAATAAATAATAAAGTTCATAGTAAACATGTAGATAATTACATTGTAAGACTCGTTCATTCGGGGAGTGCTGCCCTTGCCATGAGATTTCTTAGTGCATGTAACATGACCTGGTTTCAATCCCCATCTGGTGTAGAGGGGGGAAAAAGCAATCATTCAGCATTGAAGTTCTTGCTGCTCTTTAGACGATTGAGGATGCCCTTTGGAAAAATGCCAGCTGCCCGTTTGAGAAACACAGGATATGATTAGTACCCTCTTCCCCACAAAATAAGACCTAATCTGAAAATAAGCCCTACTATGATTTTTCAGGATTCTCATAATATAAGCCGTACCCCAAAAGTAAGCCCCAGTTAAGTGAAACCTCGCCCTCCATCCTTGTGCAGCAACAGAAGATGACGTATTTGAATAAATGTAGATTGTTGTACATGAAAAAAATAAAACATCCCCTGAAAATAAGCCCTAATGCGTTTTCTGGAGCAAATAATAATATAAGACCATGTCTTATTTTCGGGGAAACATGGTAGTCTTATTTAAGAGACAAAATTCACTTCTGATTCTGATTGTACTCTATGGCTCTATCTATGTACAGTATTAGTAAAAGATTCTAGCCTTCCCTTGCATTTATACTATGACTTTCCTTTCAGGAAATTTGTCCTGCATATTTATTTTTTGGTATGTGCTTGTTTTGCAGAAAAGAGTTCTTTTCCTCACTAATGACTACTTTTATACGGACATCAGTGGCACACCCTTTAGGTGAGTGAGCAGATATTTTGGAGGTGCCTGGTTGCTCTTTTTCTGGAAAGAGATGGTTGATTAATGAATGTGCCATTGGCTTTAGAAGGAGGCAGATACCTCCATTTTAAAGATCAGCGAGATAGGCATCACCAATGGCCCCCTTCCCTCACCAGCTACTTATTATTTTGCCTCATGAGTAAGTACAATCACACAATCTAGCTTTCCACCCATGCCTACTTCAAATGTCAGCAGATCAGGCCTCACCTAGGCAGGTGGTAATAATATGTGGGTTTTTATTTTGAATTTCTGTTATGAGTAGGACTTTCCATCAGATGCCTCTGAAGTAGTACCTGGTCACAGATGACAAAAGAAAAGAGGGAGTTAGTGCTGTGATGTGTTTCCATGAGACAAATTTAGGCCTTTTCCCTCAAGTATCTCTCAGTTCTGCTCAGTTCATTTAGTGGATTTCTCCCTGTCCCTGGGACAGCCTACCCACCTGCTGAGATGATAAGCTTATTTATTTCTCATGCCAAGGATTGGTAAATAGTTGTCTCGAAAATGATGTCATTGTCGCTGCTGTGAAAAAAAGAGGTGACTTGCCATCTGTGCTGTCCCAGTGCTTCCTCCATTAAACCATCCCGGTAGACACTTAAAAAGGCTTTATAGGCCCATGGGCCGTAAGCAGATGCAAATCAGAAATATCAAAATGAGAAAGAAAATCATATTTCAAGTAATTTCCCTATTTCAAAATCTGTAGGGCAATTATTATTGAATTGAGCATTAATATAAATGGAACTCGCCAGGTCTTAGCCAATACTTAAGCTGAAAGAAGTGTTTTTAAATGGTGACCACAGTTTGCCTTTATTTAGCTGGGATTAGTGAAAAAGCCATTTAAGGTGGAAAGCTTGGTGGTTTGGGCATCAGTGTGTCTAATTCTGAAAAATAAGTACTGGCCAGATTATGCTGGCTAGCAACAAGGAGCCATCTGCACAATCGGTTCCTGTATCTTGGCTTTCACTAAAGTATTTCTCGATAATTCTGTTCTGGTGTGTTGGGATGTGACATCTCATTCATGTCCATGTCCTCCTGTCCGTTTACAGCACAGTACAAGTTGGATAGTGCACATAACATGAAAGTGGCTTGCTTTAGAGATGAATTACTGGTTCTAAACTAACATGTTAGTTCCTAGACTATATCAATGCAAAATGCAGATGAAAACCTCCTCCCAAATTTAGATAAGTTGAGACTACACAATATCTCTCTCTGTGACTGAGGGTGGATTTTTTTTTTAAATGGATGGAAATATTCATACTATGGAGACTTCATTTTCCAATTATGGATTCTCAAGGGGCAAAACAATATCATCCATACACAAAATGGACATGTCAGCGGACTTAGGAAAATCTCCTTATGTGCTGAAAAAGAATATGTAGAGGAAAAGTCCTTGAAGGGAGTGGTAGAAACTTTAACAGCTTGAGGAAAGAGTTTACACATGGTCATGGGATGTCGACTGACTTTATTTGGTGATGAAGAGGAAGCAAGTGGAAAAAAGTGGATGGGGAAATATAATACTATGGAATATCCTTTAAAAGGGGAATAGCTGGCAATATGGATGGTATTTTGAATAGAAAAACCCCATACTACAGCATTTTGTTGCAAGCTCCACACTTTTTTTCCTGAAGTGCTACAATCCTGTGTGGGTTCTGCTATGTGATATCTATGAATATATAGTTCAGTTTTGATTCATAATTAATTCACCATCAAGCCTTTTCTAGCATCAATATTCTGTCACTAGGTAAGTACATATTTTTAGTTCAAAATGTCAGGATGTTCACGTTTTATAGTGAAACTGAATGTTCCAGTAGTAATATCTCTGGGGTTACCTTTAAAAACACAGTAGCTGAAATCCAGTAATGTCACAGCTAGAGTAGGGAATTAGGGAGGAGCTGGCCACCCCAGACCCCCTACTGTTTCAATAGGCTTACTCTAGTTGCAAATTACTGCTGGGTTGCAGCCATTGCTTTATGAAAAAAAATCTTGAAAATTTTGAATACGTCTTCAGTTCATGCTGTCAGAATCTACATTTTGAGGAAGGCTGTATGTTTTGAAAGTCAAATTCAGCAATTCAGAGGAAAATGCCTGGTTTTTTACTTGTGAGTTAATCTTTATCATAACAGTACCTTCATCATGCCATGTAGGCTTTTTAAGTTTCCTTGCCAGAAAATATAATTTTAGTTTTTCAATTCATATAGTTTGGGAGTTGTTCTGTCACGAGGTCACGGCGAGTACATCCTTTTGGGAAACACATCAGTGGAAGAAGGTAGGTTGAATGGCACAGATTTGGGAAGCAGTTGTATGAAAAAGAGATGGTGCATTCCCTTCCAATACCACAGCTGGAGTTTAATTATATCTCACATTACTCTTTCCTCTCCCATGACCCTCCTGTCTCTCTTAAGTATCTGTTTCCCCGTTTGAAAGTAGAAACCTATTAAACTAAATATATCTACCAACCATGTACAGTATTTTGGAAATTGGGCCACAATCCTTTCAATTAGGTACAGCAGTGTAAATGTGGTAGCCTAAACTGCAGTTGTAAAATGTCACTCATTAAAAAGTTGCTCACAAAGGATGCCATGTAACTAGCCAGTAGAAATCTGGCCATTTGACTCCTGTTTCTGAATTTCCTCTATCAACACCAATGACTGTGTCCACAAATGAATATTTGAAGACTCTTGTGCATAATTTCATGCAGGCTTCTACTCCTGTGGTTTGATATACAACTACTGAAGCATTTTCATCTGTTAGTTAGACTTTAAAAGAAGAATTGCCCAGGACATACCTGTTCCCTTCCTAAAATCACACAACAGCTTTGTAAGAATAACAAAACACTGCCTCTTGCATTTAGTTTGTTCAAAATGATACTGCAGTGATGAGACAGTGAAGGATTCAGTTGGTTTCTCTTTATCAATATAATTCCATCATCTTGGAACTCAGCATTTGGATTTTATAACTCAGAATTTTATAATCCCTGATTTCATATCAAGTCTAAGTCACATACTGTAGTTTAAAGGATTTTGTGTGTGTGGCCCCAATTAACTTAATGGTAGGTCTTTTGCTTCCTAAGCAAAAAGAATTCTTTGAACATACTTAAACCTGAGCCTATATTGGCTGTGTTAGTTTATCCCAAGGTTAAGAACCACTGGTTTAAAGGATTTTATGTGTGTGGCCCCAATTAACTTAGGTCTTTTGCTTCCTAAGCAAAAGGAATTCTTTGAACATACTTAAACCTGAGCCTATACTGGCTGTGTTAGTTTATTATTCCCCCCAAAATTCAACTGTAGCCCAGTTCCAATTCCCTTGGAAAACACTCAGCAGCATATAAAAAAGAGGGGTAAAGCAGTATATAAAAAGAGGGGTAAAAAAATTAAATTTCACCATGCAATTTATTATTTGGTTTCAGGTTTGCATGATCTGCTGCAGCCGGACATAACCTTGGCCAATGAATGGTAAGTGGTAGGAATTCATGTTGGGGATCTGGGAAGGACAAGAACTAGCTGCAAAAACCAGGTCCTAGGAGGCCATGTAGAATGGCATAGAACATGTTTTGCATGTAGAAGGTCATTCCAGTTAAATTCCAGGTGGCTAGCTGTGTTAGTCTACTGTAGCAAAACCATCAAAACATTTTGTGGCATCTTAATGGTTTACAGATTTTTCTTTCTTTGCTATGTCACAAGTTGTTGATCCAGTGAAGAACATCTACATAAACAGGTGTCCTTTATAGACCAATAGTCTTACTTGGTATGAGGGCAGCTTCATAGGTACCTGGGTTTCCATATATAAGCCCCATGCAACAGTACTGATGTGACACAAAAACTGCACTATGTAAGTTTTTAACTTTTGCAGTGCTTCACTGTTTCAGATGCTAAATAAAAATAATTTAAAATGTGTAACTTTAATAAATGTTCAACAACCCCTTAAAACCATTACTGTGTTTTCCTTAGACTTTTCATTCTCTCAAAACTATAGGGAAGTTTATAAAACCCTCCTTCCCCCAACACACATTTGGGTACAAGACACAGTTGTATAATACTCTTGGCTGCTTTTTCCATCATAGAAGATGACTCAACCGTAGTAACTTCCTTAGTTTCTGAAATGTACAGTACATTGAAAACCATGGAAGTTGCTCCATCTGGAGTTGATGGTCAGTCCTCTATTTAAAATATTTTTATCCCAACATTTCTTCTTAAAAAGAACCCAAGGCGGCTGTTTATTTATTTAAAATAAGTAGGCTTCTTAAGCATGGAGATTTGTCCAGACAGCTTTGGTGAGTAATTCTGATTCATTAATTTTTTTTCTCTCTCTCTCCTTAGGATTTATTGCATTACAGATATTGATCCAGGTCACAGGAAGCTGAGCCAGTTGGAGGCTGTGATCCGTTTCCTAACAGGAGAAGAAGCTGACCTAGAATGTGAGTGCTGACACATAGCCTATGACCTGTTTGAATCTTTTGCCTAAGCGATAAAGAAGAGCAATGGTACCATAGCAAGAGTTTTTTGCTTGCTGGATTTAGCATTCAAAAGCACAAAGGCAGGGGAAGTCAAACTTCCAAACCTGTGCGCTAAATCCAAAATCTCTTTATATTTTCTGGTCACAATCAGCAATCATTTCACACATTCTTTCACATTGTCCCCTTTGTTTTCTCTGTTCACCTCTCAGTGATTCCTGCTTTTGGGGCTACAGCGAGTTCTAAGGCATATGTACACTCTTGTATAGAATCAAAGAATGGCAAAGGATATTGAAAGACATCTAGCCCATTCTTTACTGATAGAAGAAATTTGGCAATATAGCACCCAAAGAGTTGGTTATCCAACCTTTATTTTAAAATGTCTAAATAAAGGAGAATCTGCTACCATCTGCTATAAAACAATGTGGAGTGCTTCCTAGTGTTTTGACTACACTGCAGTTTATCCTGTAGTTGTCACAGCCAGTTTCGAGTTATTTTCTTTTAACTAAATGATATGGAGTTAACTGCAAGTATTTCCAGTCCTTTTGCCTGTCCATTCATTACGTTTCATTTGGCTGGCAAGGGGCTATTTGTTGCGGGGGGTGTTAGTGATTCTGGTCACATCACTTAGTTTCAGTTTCTGGTATGCCTGATTGCCTACATTGGTCTAAAGGGGCAATGGCAGATGTGTTCTAAGTGACATTGACAATGATGTCTTCATTGGCTATGGTCTAACAGCACAGCAGGAATATTGTTCTTCAGTGAACACATCTCATCTTTTTCTCAGCAGAACAATTTTCTAATATTTGTAATGGTTCTATCAAATGTTATGGTACATCAGTAAGCACTGCCTTCATGATTACCTTGCTAAATTCTTTTATGGAGAGGAAGTAGCTGCTATCACCTTTTAAGTGAGCATGGGGAGATGTTTCTTATTTGCTGGGTTAGAGAGAGAGAGAGGGAGAGATCAGTACAGGATCCTGCTAGGTCATCATTTTATAATTTTAATAATAATTAATCATTTCAAAGAAAGAATACATGTGGAAGAGAGAACCTGCAAGAACATGCAAGTATTTTTTTTCCTTGATCAGACACATGTAAAACCTTCCCCCTGCCTGCACATCCCTTCTCCTTTTAATTAACTTGAATTAGTTTTCAATTTGGAGAGGCCTTTTACACCTGCCCACTCCTTTTTCATATCTACATCTATACCTATATCTATATCCTGAGCCCATTAGGATTGAACTTAGGTTGTGAGCAGTCTTGACAGCAGTACTGTGGTGCCTTGACTTACTAACGCCCTGACCTAAGAACAGTGAGGAGGAATTAAAGAACCTCTTAATGAGGGTGAAAGAGGAGAGCACAAAACATGGTCTGAAGCTCAACATAAAAAAAAACTAAGATCATGGCCACTGGTCCCATCACCTCCTGGCAAATAGAAGGGGAAGATATGGAGGAAGGGACAGACTTTACTTTCTTGGGCTCCATGACCACTGCAGATGGTGACAGCAGCCAGAAAATTAAAAGACACCTGCTTCTTGGGAGGAAAGTGATGACAAACCTCGACAGTATCTTAAAAAGCAGAGACATCACCTTGCCAACAAAGGTCCACATAGTCAAAGCTATGGTTTTTCTAGTAGTGATGAATGGAAGTGAGAGCTGGACCATAAAGAAGGCTGACTGCCGAAGAATTGATGCTTTTGAATTGTGGTGCTGGAGGAGACTCTTGAGAGTCCCCTGGATTGCAAAGAGAACAAACCTATCCATTCTGAAGGAAATCAGCCCTGAGTGCTCACTGGAAGGACAGATCCTGAAGCTGAGGCTCCAATACTTTGGCCAGCTGATGAGAAGAGAAGACTCCCTGGAAAAGACCCTGATGCTGGGAAAGTGTGAAGGCAGGAGGAGAAGTGGACAACAGAGGACGAGATGGCTGGACAGGGGCATCGAAGCTACCAACGTAAATTTGACCAAACTCCGGGAGGCAGTGGAAGACAGGAGGGGCGTAGAGTCAGACACAACTTAATGACTAAACAACAACAAATATAAGCCTGAAACACCTTTTCTTGAAATTTTAATATATTAGTTTGGATGCTATTGACCAAAAAAGTAAAAGTAAAAAGAAAGAAACCACAATCCAAATACACTCCATCATCTATGTGACAGCCTTTCAAATATTTGAAGATGGCAATCATTCCGCCTCTTAATCATCTCTTCTTCAGGCTAACATGACAAACTGTGTAATCGGCATGCTGCCATGGCCCAGTCATAATTATTTCTGACTCTGACTTGATTTTCAAATTAATTGTGAATTGGAACTGGCAGGCCCAGCCCATAACTGAGCAGATGGTAACATCCACCTCTTATCATTAATCTTTCAGCTTTGTTTGCCTAGTCAGAAGCACACTGCTATCTATGAAAAGAACTTGAGTTTTGGCAGTCAAACCGTGATGGCTAGCAACCAACCACTGATGTGATGTGTCTCTCATCATTTAACATTTTCTAAGGTCACACCACCTACCATCATAGATTTTCCTCTCAAATATCTTGATTTCTTCTGATAGCTCCTGCTACTTTGGGGCAGTTGCTCTCTCAAAAGGCTATCCCTCTTCTCCCCTTTCCTTCAGTACTCTACCCCAAGCTGGCTTGGCTCCATGGCCAAATGTATTTTCAGTCAAGCTATCTATTTGAGTTTTTAGGACTCAGGCAGAATGTGCTACTAAGTGGTTAATTAATGAGGTAGATATTGTCTATGGCAGTGGTTCTTAACCTTGGGTTACTCAGGTCTTTTTGAACCGTAACTCCCAGAAACCCCAACCAACACAGCTGGTGGTGAAGGCCTCTGGGAGTTGCAGTCCAAAAACACCTGAGTAACCCAAGGTTAAGAACCACTGGTCTATGGCATTCTTAGGTAGAAAGCTTTAAAATTAAGCAATCTGCTGACGGTCCTGATTTCGACCTGTTAGCGCTAGGGTGAATGTTACCTATGGGCTCAGATCAAACCCAAGTGAATGCTCCATTTCAGGGTTTTCTGCTCTGGGGAGAACAAGAGGGGTTTCTCATCCCAGTTGCTTTTCTTTCTGCTGGTGAAGAGGTATCAAAATGCCATTCCTAACCAGGTTCAGCCACTTTGGGAATAAGGGTTAGGATTATAATACTGAGGCATGGAGCAAATGTTTCAGGATTTCAATTTCCCCCTTTTTTCTATTTTACATTAAAGATTCAATTTTGCTATTGTTCCTAGTGATTTGTATGGCTCTGTACTGACTTGCACCTCACGGGTGAAAAATGTAATAAAAAACTATCTTTCAGTAAATCTGTTACTGCCCTGCCTTCCTTCCCTTATTGTAATGATGGTTGCTAATTTGGGCTTAATTTTCAGGATTTCAATTTCCCCCTTTTTTCTATTTTACATTAAAGATTCAATTTTGCTATTGTTCCTAGTGATTTGTATGGCTCTGTACTGACTTGCACCTCACGGGTGAAAAATGTAATAAAAAACTATCTTTCAGTAAATCTGTTACTGCCCTGCCTTCCTTCCCTTATTGTAATGATGGTTGCTAATTTGGGCTTAATAATGATAAATTTAACTTGCCGAGCATTCTCAGCATTCTCAGGAATGAATAAATTAATATTAACATATGTGCCAATCCCCGAATCTCCAATGACAAATCTGTTAATAAAGAAGCATCGTTTTAGTTCTATTTTTTGGTGATAGCTATTCTACCAGTGCTTAACAAGCTCAGGAAATGCCTGAAGTTGTACATGTTTCCTTTCATAGCTGCAGAGCTAGCCTGGATCTCTTTATAAAAAAAAATTGCAAGCCAATGGCTGCAGAAAACAAAAACAAGTATTGTCCTTTTCAAAAGTATTACAGCTCTTATTTTGAGTTTGCAGTGTAATTGATATTCTCTCTCCCTCATTCTTTTTCCTCCTCAGGTGATGAGGAGTTAGTGCAAGAGGTACTCTTTGATGCTGTAGTAACAGCACCAATGGAAGCCTACTGGACAACGTTGGCACTCAATATGTCAGAGTAAGTTTGTGTGAAGTTCAGTCTTGCAACAGTTCCACATGTTTTGGTATAACAAATACAGAGATTAGCAAATTAGTGACTTTTCTTGTCCATTTTGTCACCACTCATTTTGGGCATATAAATGTCTTCCTTCCTTTTAGAAATTAATACCAGTTATTCTCTTAATTTGGTTTTCTCATTAAATAATCTCTAGTATAGAATCATAGAGTCCTAGGAAAATGGAGTTGGAAGGGGCCTATAAGGCCATCGAGACCAACACCCTGCTAAATGCAAGAATCCAAATCAAACTATATTTGACAAATAGTTGTCTAATTTTCTATTAAATGCCTCTAGCATTTAATAGAAGTGACTGATCTCTACCTCCAGAGATAATTGGTTCCATTATCGTACTGCTCTAGTTAGGAAGTTTTTCCCGACATTCAAACAAAAATATGGCTTCCTGTAACCTGAGGCCAGTGTTGTGTGTCCTGTACTCTGGATGACTGAGAACAAATCCGTCCCCTCTGTGTTATGCAGTGGTGCCTCGCAGGACAAATGCCTCGCAGGACAAAAAACTCGCAAGACAAATGGTTTCGGCAATGGGGGTTGATGACTCGGAAGACAAATGTTCCATGGCCGTGCTTCGCAAGACAAATGTTTTCCATTTTTTGTTCCTGCCTCATGTTTACTGATTTTTAAATGTTTTTCTATAATGTTTAAAAAGTTAAAGTTTTTTGACTGAAATTTTTTAAATCATCTGCACAATATGTATGGCTTTAAAGAGCACTTAATAAACCCTTTGTAAACCAAATTTGACTTTGTTCTGACTTTTTCCCCATAGGAACGCATGAATTAGATTTCAATGTATTCCTATGGGAAAACACATTTCGCAAGACAAATTTTTCGCAAGACAACATTAACCGCGGAATGAATTAAATTCGTCTTGCGAGGCACCACTGTAGTCTTTCAAGTATATGAAAACTGCTATCATATCTACTCTCATATCCTCCTGTGGGGTCTCTTGTATGTCTTCCTCTTTGTGCTGTTTGCAAGATTCTTCTTCAAGAACCTCCAAGCAATGTTGCAGTTTCACCAGCGAATAGTGCCTTTTCCTCCTTTTGCTCCCAATTGTGGCTCTTTTCCATGGTGCTTCCTCCACTATGTTTGCTCTCTCCTCAGCACTCCTCCTCCGCTTTGTCTTGCTGTTCTTCCACCTCCAGTGCATTCCTTGGCTGCTCCTGTTCAAGAGTTCTGTCTGTGTACTCTTAATCTTCTCTTATAGCTTCAAGTGGGGACACTTGCTGCTCCAGTTCTCTAACTTTCTCTTCCAGTTCTCACTTGTTGTAGGAGTGCATTATGTTGTTCTCAGGAACAAAGACAAGTATTGCACACGTTTTGCAGGTCACCACCACCAGTGTCTCTTCTTTCCACACTCAACTGTTACCTTTTTACTTTATTCTGTCTGTCTATGAGTGCTCTTTCCTTTGTTTTGTCTGCCTTGAAGGATGCTGGGAAAATCTACTAATATATAACTATATCTAGAAACCAGACATTTTATTAGGGGCCTCCCCCACTGAACTCCTCTGCCAAACTTCTGTTAGCTGTCCCAGTTCACTCACTACCTTAGGTATGTCTCAGTTTTGCTGTGCTCTGTTAGGAGTCATCAAACAGGGGGAAAAAAGTTTAATGATGTTTATGCTGTATCTTGGTGAACTGGGCTTTCCCCCCAAGCATGCTAAGAGTTTTTCTGCTGGCTTCTTGTAAGAACAGCCCACTTTTCCCCTGCTTCCTTCCACTCCCAAAATGACAGGAGGGTGCTCCGGTTCCTTCCTGTTCAGTTTCAAGTAGTTTCACTACTTAGAGAGACCTGTGCTATATTATTTCATTATTTATTTGCCTGACTTTGACACTGGAGCTAATTTTAGCAGCATCCCCTGGAATGAGTCAACTGGGTCATGGGCAGTACATTGATAGGGCAGGTAATCTTTCTCTGCAGTGATAATCTGCTGCATCCCTAAAATACCACCGTTTCCTACCAACTGTATGTAGTGAATGTTATGATTTCCCATGCATGTTTAAGCCTGTTTATACGGAGGCCTTTTATGTGTGATCAAATTAAGATTCATAGTGACATCCAGGCTAATTTACTGTAATGGGCTCTACACAAGGTGACCTTTAAAAAGTGTTCAGGATATTCAGTTGGTGAAAAACAAAATTGCTGGTTTGTTAACAGGATCCCACTTTTATCACATGTCTCAGAGACCTGGGGCCTTTTGCGTATAAAAGTATGTGTTCTGTCTCTTTGTTACAATCTGGCCCCTATCATATTATGCAAAACATATTGAACGGGCTTTGCTGAGACTTAACACTGTCTCTCTTTTCCTCTGCAACTGTTTCCATCAGTGAGACGGAAGGGGGTGTGGAGATGGCCTTTATGGGAACTCGGGCTGGCCTCATACGAAGTTCCCTCTATGTTGGCTCTGAGAAAGTTTCGAACAGGTGAGTTCTTTGAATACATGTCTTTCTCTTGCCCTTTAGTGTAGTTTGGAATAACTAAAATAAAAAATAACTAGCACTGAGTTACCATTTTGTGAATGTACAGCCAAACATGTTCTTAATAGAATCACTCACTATTCTGTGTTACAACCTGGCCCCTATCGTATCAGGCGTATTCTTGTTCCTTTCCCACTAGAGATGTGACCTCATCACAGCTGTTCTTGCTTTGGATGTCACGGTAGCTCTAAACAGCTCCTAATGGTCTGGCTGTCCTGCATCCAAGCACTTCCCAAGGTTTTTCAGCCAAGAGGTTTCTTCTCCTCCCTGTTCTTCTTGTACTACCATTGCCAATACTGAATTCAGAAGGGAGCTCTTGCAGATTACTCAAGTTGTCTGTACATTGACTCAGCGTCTCATGAGGGCTTCATAGTACAAGATTAATCTGGTTACAGTGGTGCCTCGCATTACGACGTTAACTTGTTCCAGCGAAATTGCTGTAGAACGAATATGTTGTAATGCGAAAAGAAAAAAACAATTGAAACGCATTAAAACCCATTTAATGTGATCCAAAGGGCTTGAAACTCAGCGTCCAGCGAAGATCCTCCCTAGGGCGGCCATTTTCGGTGCCTGTAATGCGAGGAATCCGTCCCAGAAAACAGCAGGGGGGGCATTTTGTTTACCCGGCAGCCATTTTGAAACCACTGATCAGCTGTTGGAAAATCATCATTTTGTGAAGAATCGGTTCCTGAAGCAGGGAACCGATCATCGCAAAGCGAAATTCCCCCATAGGAAACATCGTTTTGCGATTGCAAAAGCGATTGCAAAAACTTTGTCGTAATGCGATTTCGTCGTTAAACGGGGCAATTGTAAAGCGAGGCACCACTGTATTTGGAAACTGTGGAACAGCAGGCTTTAATGTCCCATGGACTATTTGTGCCCATGTTATGGGAGCTGACAGGCTGATGCAGTTAGTGCTGATGCAGGTGAAGTCCCACCCTTGGGAAAGAAGCTAAAGCCTAAAGGATAGCAATTTCTCTATAATGAGAGACATTCCTAAAAGCCTCTCTAAAAGGCAAAAGGTGGACAGAGGAAAGAGCCGTGCGTGTTTCCCTAGTGACAGACAGCAGGAAATAGGGACTGTGTTGGCTAAATAGAAGGACATTCATATAAGCCTGTGGGAAGCCGAATTTCTGTGTCAAGGAGCATATCTTCCAGGCAGGATTGATCTCTCTTTCTCTCTTTTTCAAAGAATGTCTTGCTAGAGAGAGCAAGGAGATAATTGGCAACCTGTTGGCTGACCATTACTGATTCCTTGAGTAAACGGATGCCTCCTACCTGCACAGAGTAACCTCTCAGCACTGCATCCATTGTCCAGAACAACTTTACCATTCTTAGCTAGAACAGGATGCTTGATGCCACTGCAGCTTTTCTCATCACCCAATCCTTTCCGCTTTTGTGTGGCAACATCTGTTAGTACATGCTGGATACAGACGTTAGTAACAGAATCCCTCTGGTAACAGATACTGTTGCAGCTGCTCTCACATAAAAATGGCCGAATGTTATGGTCAGGACTAAAGAGTCTTGTTTTGCTGCTTCATATGATACCATCCATACAGTTTTCAATGGGAAGCCCCCTATTGCAGTACAAATTTCAAAGATTCAGTAGAGAAAGCCCACAAAAGGGACACATAAACAAAAGCAGTATTTGTTTGTTTGTTTATAAAAGTCATATACCGCCCATCTAGAACGTGTCTACTCTGAGTGGCTTGCATATAACATAAAAATAAACTGAGGTAAAATCCAAATTAATCACAAAGTCCAAGATGGGAAAAGGAAAAAAGAGGAAAGAGAAGAAAGAGAGAAAAAAGGAAAAGGAAGATAGGCTAGGTAATGGTTGTAGGGAAGGCCTGCCTGTATAGCCATGTCTTCAAGCTAGTCTGTATCACATATATACATAACATACTGTACATATATGAATGTATGGAAGAATTCCAGGATAGAGCATGAATCCAATAAGTATTGCACTAGCCACCCAGCATGAAACTGTGAAGCAGTTTCTCTATTATAATAAACTAATTTCGTTTATCTTTTTGCAAATTGGAGTCAAGGCATTTTTGTCATGCCTACCTCTAAACCAGTTAGCTATGGCATGCCCAGCATGAAACTGTGAAGCAGTTTCTCCATTATAATAAACTAATTTCGTTTATCTTTCTGCATATTAGAGTCAAGACATTTTTGTCATGCTACCTCTAAACCAGTTAGCCATGGCATGGTGCAAATTCCCATCACACTGAAACAGCTTGCCCAGTATAGCAGCACCCCACAGAGATATATTTTGAGCAACCTCGATGTTGTTGTTTTGCATGTGTGCATGGGGTGTAATTGGTTGGACTGAAAAGTCACCATCCTGTCTGCCTTCTTGCCCATTACCATGCACCTTGTTTGCTGTGGACAACAGCTCCACCTAGTGGGATAAAAGTATTACTATCTGTGCTTCTAGCCCAGGGGCTAGATTCTAGTAAGTGTAGTGCATTACCTTTAATTTTCAACCCATAGATCCATGTAGCAATTCCTTTAAAATCTTTGCTGCATTTGCTATTTGCTGAAGGTTTATTTTTAGTCTAATTAGCTAGCTTGAAGTGCTGCTGGTTAAACCTAATATATGCAGAAACCAAAAATTACTGTGCAAATATCAAGCAGAAGAAAGTAGATGGTTTTCAGCAATATAGAAACACAAGAGTGCATACTTCCCCATATGTGACTGACTGGCAGCAGTTAGTCTGTATCTAAACTTCGCTTTGCATAAGGTTGTCCCTCTCAGTTAGTACTATGGATTACATGCTGGTGTATCTTCAGTTCTCTAGAGCCGATAATCTGGTGCGGTCCCCAGCGAAGAAAAGCTTACAAGATGCAGGGAGAACTACAGCAAGACAATTCTGACCCTATGTAGCTATTTCAGTGAACATCTTGCTTACTTACGTACACAGTAAATTAGATTTAGTCTTCAGTTGAAATGTCTAAGTGACAAACGTTTAGTACCATTCAGCGCAAAGCTTTAATCTTTTCTCTTTCTGTCCCTGAAGGACAGCATTCTGGCATGTATTTATTATTGCAGCATAATTAATGAGAACATCTCTTGCAGGCCCTACTTTTGTTGATAAAAGCAAGTTACTGAGCTTTCTGGGAAGACATGAGACTCCAGTAAAATTTAAACAACTAATTTCTGTCGTTGATTTCAATGTGATTTAAACATGATTAACCTCAGTTGCATCAGGGCTGAAAAGTAAAAGGCTCCTGGATTAAAGGAAATACCTGGGTTTATATATGGTTGCCACCAGTCTGATTAGCGATGGGATTGCTTCAGGGTGCCTGAATATTCTTTCACTGGCAGAAGGTGGCTTAATAAGATGCGACCTAACTATTTTTCTTAACTTTGAGCCCTTAGGAAGATAATATCTTCACAAATAGCCTATTATAATCTCAGAAATTTTGAAAGATGGTTTAAGTAAAGATGTATTTTACAGATACTAAGAAGTGAATGTGTCTGTCTCTGTATTTATTTTCAGTGCCTGTATAGCTAAGTACTTTAAACCTTGTCAGAGAGGTGAGCTACAGCTGATTAATCTGCATTGTGTGCTAATGCTTTTAAAATGAAATTTTCTTGAACAGCAGTGTTTCCGCACTCTGAAAGCAGCATTAGCAAATCCACTACTATGACAGCTTAACCCAATCTGTTTTTACCCCATTTGAGTAGACCTGCCATTTCATTAATATCAGGGCTAGCCCTACTGTTGGGCAAAGTGAGGCATCCACCCTAGGTGGGAAATGCTAGGTAGGAAAGAGCAGTGGCAGCCTCAAGCTTTTTCCATCTCATGAAAACCTCTTAGCTAACTTAGTGTCCTCAGGTACTGTAGAAGACCATATGCTACTGTTGGCACTGAAATAAGGTTCAAGTGCAAGCCCAGTAAGCTTCTGCATGTGGAATGGATGGATGCTACTACATCCTTTGCCTTAGGCATCTTATCTTGGGCCAGCCTTGTTCAGTTTGCATTCAAATGGACAAATATTGTGGGCAATGAAGTTGATCACCTCTATAGCACAAAACAGTCTGCAGACATCGACTGTTCCTGCAAATATTTTATTTATTTATTTATTGGATTTCTCTCCCACCCATCTAGACCAAAGGTCTACTCAAAGACATATCTGAATAAGGACAGGATACCTCACGCGAGCCCCTTACTGTTTAAGACAGGTGTTTTGCTACTGTATTGGAATGTTTAAGAAACATCCAACGTAAGTTATAGAATCACAAGTGTTAAGATGCATTGTTTCTAGAGATGGGTGACGTTCGGAGAAATAGTAAAGATTAGGTGTGGTGAGCTGGAAAACTGAGATTGTATATCAACTTTGGCCTGTCAAGCATGTTAATTGTACCGTCCCTATGAGTGAGTCTCAGTAGTTGCCAAAGAAATATATGGTGATAAACTTGTAAGGCAAGGGGAGTTCTGGAAAATGATGCTGGAATTAGAGGTGGTGATGCTCTGTATCAAACTATGCAACACTGCACTAATGTTGGCTCTATAGTCTTAAAATGCATGGGATCTGAGATGCTGAAGGGCTATAGGGGGAATTATAGCTCAGTGGTATGGCTTATGTTTTTCAGGCAGAAGGTTCAAGGTTCAAATTACAAATAGTTATTTTAAAAAAGGATTACATTGCCCCTTGGTTGGGGAAAATGTGTCTCCTTTGATATCCTGCCTTCTGTGTTCATGCTCTGGCCATCATCCCTACTTTCATAAAATAGAATTATTGGAATTCTCTCTACAAAAATACCTGCCTAGCCCTTGCCTACCTATACTATATTTTATATGTCAGGTGACACATGTTTGATTTGCCCAAGATTTCAGAAGAGATAACTATAGATGTCTTTGGTTTTGGATTGTCACATTTGCATGCAAAATACTACACTGATAGTGTTTTGTTGCTGGTTGAGCCTGCTCTGG